TCGGGTGAACCGAAAGGCACCGTGATACTGATGAGCCTGCAAGGGCAGGTGTCCAGTGTTGTATAAGTACCCTATAAGGCTCCATGTAATGCTCGAAACGTTATCACACTATCAGACTATCAAATACAAGTTATATCTCATAATTCTGGCTGTACAAGAGCCCATTAACAGACCACATGACATCTGGCTCAAATTAAAATTATGCGATATATTGAATTGAGCGTGGTCTTTGGAAAACACTGGAAACAGACGATAAAATGTAAGTTAGTTCTGCTTATGATTCAACGTCGAACGACTTTATCAATACTTTAAGTTACATCCATCATCAGCTGTGTGGACGGACGCACAGATAGTATGGTATTCTACTTTAGTAACATCGTTACTGCTAAAACACATTATAGATCATCTTGCAAACCGTCAAATATTCTTATATTTTCTACGTAACGGGCCTCCCAACAACGCGCATGTGATTGAGCCATTCGGCGTGATTCCTGCTATTCCGTGTCGAAAGACTGCATTGCAAGCCATCTGCGAGCTTCATACACAACACTAGGAAGTGATAAACATGAATGGCTTGTCGGTGAAGCAGCTCATGGATGTTTTGAAGCGTGTCTAAAGTGATCAATCTCCGGATGGTCCGGGAAGCATTTGGCGCAAATTAGAGGATCACCAGTGACGCAGCTTGCCTTTATGCCGAAAGTGCAAGCCCCAGTAATTGATGTGTCAACCGTAGGTGCATGGAGGAATGTTTGCTTGTTTGCTCCACTGAAGAGCAATGAATAGATATTATGAATACTGAATGAACAGTCAGAATATCTAAAATTCACTCGTGAGTCCTGAGAAACAATTGGCTTCATTTTTAAACCTTCAAATAAACTTATCCGATAACTGCTTCATTATTAAAAGGTACCGAAGCTAAGTGATAAGAAGATCCTGGTTCATTACCTGACCTCCCATACCTCACATACAAAAAAGACGCTAATGAAGAACCCATTCCGAATAGTCGCCGATGTTTGCATTGAAAGATGGAAAATACCTATGTCCAACCTACAAGTTTATAACTCCTCATTTTATGTTTGAAGGGAGCGACACGCCTTAAATGATAATACCAACGAAGGCACAATTTCGCTCAACCTTTCTTTCTTTCAAAAGAGATAAATACAGTTATATCACATTGTTTGGAAGAAGAAGGTTTGAAAAGGTCTGAGCGCATGTTGAAAAACCGCCGTATACTCTGCAGTGGCAACTAGTTCGTAATCCTTATACGACCTTCTCTGTACAACGAAACAATGACACTATGCCTAGCGGGTGAACAGGTCTTACGATATTACGTCAGCGGTACGTGGGGCGCCTTACCCAGCGGCACGTTTAACCAAGAACCTCTTGTTCGATCATGGCGTTGCAGCGAAACGGTCCTCTCACGGTAGAAGCACAGCGCTGAAATCAGCAAACATTACGCTACTAAATGATTATTAATAGTTCAAAGAAAGAGCTCTGCTTGCGAGAAAATGCGTGTGTGAAACACGAAGGATTTCGTTCTGTAAAAACCCTTAAAAAAAAGTTTTTTGCTGGACATAGAGTGTAGAGCGTTCGTCGTCGCTAACTCTTAGTGTGGGGACTGGAGCACCCACAGAGATTAGCAAAATACGAGAAAGGCTAACTGCCCGACTGACGAGATCGCAAGATCGAAACACGTGTATCGGGCTCTATAAGTCAGCACTCATTGACAGACCACTGACAAGCGTGGCTCAAAAATGATTGCAAGGCATATTCAAAAAAAGGCTTTTTCGAAAACCGGCCATGTGAGGCTGTAGCCAGAACTCATAGCTTTCGAGTGATTACTGACATTCCTATGAAAAACTTCTGTCCAGCAAATAAGATCAGTTTTTCATCTGTCACCTCATAATGGGCGATTTGTTTAGAACTTGGTCAGCCGAATACCACCATAACCCCGACAACGCCATGATGCCTTGATTTCAATCTGACTATAAAGAGACCATATTGCAAATGAAGAAGCACTCTATCGAAGTTATTACGTAAACAGCTAAGAGGCACGTGCTGACCATCTCATGAATATGAGAAGGCTCACAAACATTCCACCGAAGCACGCGAGGCGCAATGATAAACAAACGCTAATCAAAAAGCAGAGTAATACGCAAAATAGACAGTAATCAATTGTTTCACCACTTCGACATATCTATTGACGTTCATCACCTGTACCACCTGTCGTCCAATTGATCGCCCCTTGAGCAGACACCAGTTGAACTTGTACTTCCCGTTTTGCGTACAGTAATAACCCAGTGGGTCCTCCTCGTTAAAAAAATTAGCTGAGAATCATGTTTGTCCTTCAGGCTTTTCGTGAACAAATCGGATCATCGTGTCGGCGGCCTTACTTTAGTGCGTAAGACATCCGAGGAATCCAGTCGGTAACGACTCTCGTCTCCCTTCACACAGTCACTGTTTTCCGTGAGCCATTAGCCACTGAGTATATCGAGTGTTTGCACGTCAAAAGAACGATGGACGCCCAAATAAATATAAAGGCATGTAATCTTTACAAACTCCTTTTTTATTGCTCTTAGCAGCGTTATGATGCTGTAATTACACATCTAAAAAGTTGACTCCTGTTCCTCTATTCTCTTACTACGATGCAAGGTATCAATACCGCCAGCAACTCACATCCAGCGTATGGCCTGGTAAGCACATATCGGCGCTAGTCCCCTTACGCTGACACCTTTTGAACATGCGCATACGCATGCCCATATGTAAATATACACGTGAATACATGTACTTTTACATATATATGTAATATATATATATATGTATATACATGTATATATACCATATGTAGATATATATATGTGCATATATATATATAAATGCATATGTACAAGTCTAATAATAGTAGTGATTACAGTAGTAGTGTGATATATATATATATTATTTATTTATTTATATATATATATATATATGTATATGTGCGTATATGTATATAATAGGTATTTGGCTGTTATAAAGCGACAATGAAGACTTTTTGCTGGACAAGACTTTTCGTAAGATGTTACCAATTATTCAGAAGCTCAAATCCCTGTTAGTGCTACATGTACTCGTTTTTCGGAAAAGACTATTCATAACATGTAGCAGAAAGGAAATATTTGTGTTCCACATACCATATTTCTCGCGGAACAGAATGTTCCCTGGAATTTTGAGTAATCATTCGTTAGCGTGAGTTTCGATGATTTCAGCGCTCTGCTTACTTTGATAATACCGTTTTACTGAAGTGAGGCGGAGCAAACAAAATCAAGTTCCACATACGCAGAGCACTTCATTGGCTAGTGTACGTCTCCTGAGGGCCGAGAGGAGGAGGAGGAGGGAGGGAGGGATGATTTCAGGTGATGACCTTCGATTTTTCGGGCATATGAACGCGCAGAGATGTCGTGTCACCAGTTCACGTGGCCGCCTCACGCACACGCACGTGAATTGGCCAAAGACCCCTTTGATCACAGATGGGAGTTCAGCTTATCTTAGCTACCGCGTTTCAGAGAAACGGTCTTTTCAGTATATAACCACAGCGCTGGAATCGAAAACGACTAGGCTATCGAATGATTAGCAGTAGTCCAAAGAAAGTGCTCTGCCTGACGAGAAATATGCGCGCTTAAGACTTGGTTTTGTGAGGATTTCACAGCTTTTTGAGTATATTGGTAAACCGGCCATGTGGCGCTCTAGCCAGAAATCTACGCTTTTCAAAATGATCACTAACACTTCTGTATAAACTTCTTTTCCAGCAAATGAGGTCGGTGTTTCATTTGCCGCTTTATACTCAGAAAGAACCCAACCCGAGCTATATTTTACGACGTTCATGAAAAGAATGATATCTTCAAGCATGCGATGAGTGAATGAGAGGAACTAATTGAATGATTAGCACAGGAAAATTCGAAGACGAACCAGTCATACGTAATGAAACTTGTAGTCATCGGGTGAGACGTCCAATGAGACACGTCGCATGTACTGAAATCCGTACACGTAGACGTGATAAAGGATAAATAAAGGATAAAGCTCTCGGCGTTGATCAATCCCTGAGGTACGCGCCACGCATTCGTCTTCAATCAGAATTGCTGTGAGTGCTGTGCAAAACGAACGTCGGTGGTGCAACGGTTAGCATACGCTCCCGGAAAGAGTGAGATCTGGGTTCGTATTCCGGCTGATGCAAATGACTTTGCACAGTACTCCACATTAATGGATGCATCCGCCTTCAATTCTTGACTTTGTTTGAGGTGATTTAATGCTTTGTGGCCTTTACAATGACTCGTGATGGCCTCCCGCTGAACCGAGTCAGGTGTTGCTTATCCTCCCAAGCAAGTCTGAGACCAGTCAGGTACCAATTTACCGACCCCGGGTGAGTCGCATGGCTTGGTGAGCCATGAGCGCGAGATCGAACCATTGACCTAGTGTGCGACGCAGTGCACCTCTAACCATTGCGCCACATGGACGTGCTAGCTCCACGAAGGATATATCTGGCATTCACAATTACCGCCTTGTATCATATGGATTGGAGCAATGTTTAGCGGCGGAGCGTGTGATTTGCATCACTCCATGGGTTACCTTTCAGCTCAGCGGTGCTAATTTCCAGCTTTGTAATATAAATTGTACAATTTTTTTCTAGCATTTTGGAGTATTGTTAATCTTATGACAGCTTGGGAATGCTCATAGGAGTTGGATCAGAGCAGAACTAATCGGAACTGGAGCAGATTTTCTCTCGGCTACCTTGAACAAATCGAACTCTTGATTTGGTTCCTTACTTAGAGATATCCAATTTTTTTTTGTTTAGAAAATCTAATCGACGATTTTACCGCGAATTTTTTTGATAGCAGCGTTGAATAGGATTAGCTATGTTTGCTTATGGTGAAAAATACTCGAAATTTCTAGTATTTTCACTGCATTTTTCGCAGCGTTATGTGATGTTGCATATATCCCTAATAGGATTGAGTGGTGAGCAAAAATAGGACCTCAGACGGGAGCCGAACCCGCATCTCATCCATATCGGGGACGCGTGCTACCACTACACAACCGAAGCACATTTGTGCTACCACTCATTCTATTTTTCAAAAGTACAACCTCAGACGGGAGTCGGACCCGCGTTTCATCCATGTCGGGGTTGCGTGCTACCACTACACCACCGAAGCACATTTGCGCGAGCAAAAGTACGACCTCAGCCTGGAGTCGAACCCGCGTTTCATCCACATCGGGGACGCGTTCCACCATTACATCACCGAAGCACATTTGCGCCACCACTCATTCTATTTTTCAAAAGTACGACCTCAGGCGGGAGTCGAACTTGCGTTTCATTCATATCGGGGACGCGTACCACCATTACATCACCGAAGCACATTTGCGCCACCACTCATTCTACTTTTCAAAAGTACGGCCTCTGGCGGGAGTCGAACCCGCGTTTCATCCACACCGGGGACGCGTGCTACCACTACAACACCGAAGCACATTTGCGCCACCATTCATTCAATTTTGAAAAGTACAACCTCAGACGGGAGTCGAACCCGCACTTCAACCACACCGGCGACGCGTGCTACCACAACACCACTGAAGCACATTTGCGTGAGCAAAAATAGGACCTCAGACGGGATTCGAACCCGCGTTTCATCGACACCGGGGACGCGTGCTACCACAACACCACCGAAGCACATTTGCACCACCACTCATTCTATTTTCAAAAGTACAACCTCAGACGGGAGTGGAACCTGTTTTAATCCACACCGGGGACGCGTGCTACCAATACACCACCGAAGCACATTTGTGCCACCACTCATTCTATTTTTCAAAAGTACGACATCAGGCGGGAGTCGAACCCGCGTTTCAATCATATCGGGGACGCTTGCTACCACTGCACCACCGAAGCACACTTGCGCCACCACCCATTCTATTTTTGTTCAACACTCAATTCTTTTAGAGATGTGTGAAATGAGACATGAATTTTCTGAAACGCAGATGGGAATCGAACCCACATGGGTTCTTTTTGGTTATAAGGGGACAAATGAAAAACCGATCTCAGTCACTGAAGACCAACTTTTCATAAGAGTGTTAGTAACTGTTCGAAAGCTGAGATTTCCGGCTACAACCCCACATTGCCGGTTTTCGAGAAGGCCTTTTTTTGACGTTGTTGCAGGAGAAAATCCTTTGTATTTCACACACGCATTTTTCTCGCCGGGCAGAGCTCTTTCTTTGGACAACTAGTAATCATACGATAGCGTAATCGTTCCTGTTTCTAACGCTGTGCTGAGGCCCTGAAAAGATAGTTTCTCTGCAGCGCAGCAGGTGATATAAGTTGATTTCCCAACTGCAACCAGGGGGTCTTTGGCCAGTTCGCTCCTGTGCATCGACTGAATTCGATCGGTTACCCCTTTGTCTCCTTATAGCCGATAAAAATCCCCGTGTTTTTCCCTTTCCGCAGGCGCGTGCTAATCAGTTGCTTTACTGAGGCTTCAGTTCTGCGGTATCACTCTCCTGTTATACAAAGCATCGACTGTCGCGTCGGACATTTGGCCTATTAAGCCCATATCGGCCCCCGTAGAGAGCTAGAGATATGCGGGTTCGATTTTCGTCTGTGGTTAAAGAAGCTTTGTGTAACACCCAATGATGTAGAGTGGTGTGCTGAAACGTTTGCGTCAGCTGGGATTTGAACCCAGATCTTACTCTTTCCGCGGTGCAATGGTTTAGCACATGCTCCCCAGGAAAGAGTAAGATCTGGGTTCAGATCCCGGCTGACGCAAACGTTTTTGCACACCACTCTACATCATTGGGTTTACTTCAACATCATAGGACTGCAATCGGCGGTCAAATAAGATGACTTCCGCTTTGTATACCACTGACCATTATCGATTAATCAAGGAGGTATCTCTGTCTTTACTATGAAGAGGTGTCTCAAGGTTCTCAAGGTCATTGGTGGTAATACAATCGTTTGATGTATCAGGTCGCGTTCTTTAAGTTCTAGAACTAGAGAAATAAACTCCAGATTTTTTAGCCAGAAGTAAATGAAGTTGCATGGTTTTGATATCGTTCAATTCCGTATTTTCTGGCGAACATTTTGGTATATAAATTGCCTATAACCTTTTCAAGATGGAGCTGTCTTGGGAGCAAATTCGCTTGCTACTCCATGCACGAATGACGCGTACGGCAAAATGGGTACTTTTCCGTTTGCTGGCACCGATTTCTAAGCTAATCTCGTTCGCTGCACAAGAGCTTTTCATAGAGAGTATTATAATCATTCGAGAGGTCGAATCTCTCGCTAGCGTAGTACGTGGTCGGTAGTTTGAAAAGACCCTTCGATATTGGTGTAAAAATGCGAATAAAATTCTGTTTCAAATCGGCCGCGTAATTACCTCGCTGGAAGCGCGAAAAACACATGGACGTGTAGAGAAAATCTTCTAGCCTCATAATCAGACATGTAATCTGGAGTTCCCGCCAAAGCGGTGAAACAATCCCTAATCAAATAACAAAAAGCGCACTTCACATAGGCACCATCGAACAATAATCGCAGCGAGCCGTCCTGCCCCATCCCATACCACAGCCCGTGAATTAGCCAGAAAACACATATCCGCGTATGTGAATCAATCTTATTTCTCTTTGACACTGCAGAGAAACGATCTTTCCAGACGATAAGAACAGCCTTGACATAATCGAATCTTGCGCTATCGAATGAGTACTAATAGTCTGGAAAACGAGCTCTGTCCTGCGAGAAAAACGCGTCTGTGGAACACAAATGTTGTCCTTTCCTCGAAGCGTTATAAATGGGTCGTTTTGAAAACCAGCCACATATCGTGCTAGCCAGAGATCTAATCTTTAAAATGACTCTTAAAATTTTTTTAGGAAAAGTTTTTGCCCAGCGCAAGGGGGATAGGGCTTAGAAATCTGTGCTGCAAAACGAAAAAGTCGCGGAAAATGTGAAGTGAAGCGGCGCGAAAGATTGATGAGCTTAGAGCGATGATACGATTGCACTAAGGACGGCTAGGAAGTGGTTCACGCAGTGTTCGAAGCTGGAGAGAACAGTCTGGATGATCAGTCACGCTCGGGACGTCCACAGGAAGCTCCATTAATCTTGCGCGCCGCTTAAAAGCCTTTTCTCCTGCGCGACATTCGTTCAAGAGTAGCGAGCGAAATTCTTCCCATGGCAGCTCCATTTTAAAGAGAGTGTGGTGAATATATATATCAATATGCTCGCAAGAAAATGTGATTTGAACGAAACCAAAATCGCGCAATTTTAGTTAGTTCTGACTAGTAAATTTGGTGCTTGTTCATCTAGTGCCAAAGCTTACGGAACACCTAGAAGTTTTGAAACTTTCTTTCGATACAGAATGCTGGCGTGTGGTGCTTCTCATGAAGTTCTATCGCGCGATTACCGGAGTCTTTAGGGTTTAGTTAGCGGCTCTCCACAGCTGAGATAAGGGATAAGTAAGCCCTCCTTTGACAGACCACTGTCATGCGTGGCTCAAAAATGATCACCAGGCATATTGAGATAAGAGAATCGATCGGTTTTTTTCTATATCTTAGCTGTGGGTAAAGGGATGTTCGATTTGTTGAGGAGTGAGGGGGGGGGGGGGCAGACCGTCTTGAATTCGTCGAGCACTTTTTATTAGGTTTCTATCTATCTATTTCACCTTCAAGCACCCCCATCGTTCCCTCGAATACATTCCCAGTGGTCTCCGAACAATTCGCGTGTTGCTTGAACTGCTGCGCGAGGTTCTCGCCTTCTTCATAAGCGACGTGCTGATGCTGACTTGGTTGATCCTTTTAAGAACCCGCAGGAACCCGATCTAGGACTTTCCAGAAAGCGTTGGTGCATTGATTGCAAGAAAGTGTTAGTGGGGAGTCGAACCAGCACCTTCCTACGTGATGTGTTGAATCGTTAACCCTCTATCTTGGTCAGCAACCCCTCTTGGTCTCTGCTGAATTTTCATTTGGCAAAGGGTCAGTGGAGGGACAAACTGTTTATGATTTATTTGTTTGCGTTCTCAGAGAATAGAAGTCGGTCTCCTACCTGACTCTTATTAACTTTATCAATTTCACATGAAACCTATTGATACGTTATCGGCTCGTCTTCGATGCCTCACAAATGGATTTTGTTGTGACAAAAAAGAACACCTCGCTAGGGAAACATTTGCTTTTAAGAGTCACCAATTGTTAGGATTAATCCAGTGATGTTGGGTGATGTGCATAAGATTTACGCGAGGCGGGACTCGAACCCGTACCTCACACTTTTTGCGAGCGTGTGCTTAACCAATTGCACCACCGACTCCTGTTTTATCACCGCTCTTTTTACACTACAGTGGTCAGCGACCAACCATCAACCGCTTCGCCTCGTAGTCCATATCGACATTGAGCCCAGTTACGATGGCAGACATTTATGAATATATATATATATATATATACATGTATATATATGTATGTATTTACAAGTACATCCATTTGCTGACGGCGTCATTTTTGGCTGGTAGGCCGTCGGACGGCCATGAAGAAAGGCTGCCGGCGCGCTCTAACGCTAGTGTGCTAGTTTTCTAATGAAATCTAAGATTTTTCGTCAATAAATGAGATCTTTGTATTAGTAAAAAGTTAAAGACTTCATTAAGGTTATTCTTATAAGCAATAAGTAGTTGCTCCGTTCAGTCTCATTAGTGATATTTTATCGATTTTGATGAAAATATTCCGCTGTGAACTCAATTAACCCGAATTTGTATTGGAGCACGGACTAATCTTTGTAATCGTCCGAACGTGGTGCCCAGCTGAGGGCCATAATGAGCCTTGTCGTGCGCAAGGGGACATATGTAAATACATGTGTATATATGCATATATATATGCATGTGCATGTATGTATATCTATATTTATGTAGTTATACATATGCACAAGTGCATATACGTACATACATGTATATATGCATATATTCGTGTATATGCATACATACGAGCGCATTTGGCGCAGTGGATAGAGGTGCACTGCGTCGCACACGAGGTCAATGGTTCGATCTCGCGCTCATGGCTCACCAAGCCGTCCATCCCTCGGGGGTCGGTAAATTGGTACCAGACTGGTCTCAGACTTGTCTGGAAGGATAAGCAGCACTGACTCGGTTCAACGGGAGGCCACCGCGAGTCATTGTAAAGGCCAGATATGCATTCGATCACCTCAAACGAAGTTAGAAATTGAAGACGAATGTATGGCACATCCCTCAGGGATTGATCAACGCGGAGAGCTTTATCCTTAATCCTTTTATAGTTAGGACAATACCTTTCAATCGACTAGTTTCGGCTTCCTATCAAGCCTCATTAGTAGCGCATGCCATTTGGCTACTCGCCCCCTATTCTAGGGAACGACGCTGAACAAGAATCTCAAAAATGTCAATTGAAAGGTATTGGTATAACTAATTTGGCGAAGTAGCCGTAAGCCGTGCATACTTCATCGATAATCAATCACCTTGGAAGAACATCAGTTGGGTGATCTTTTCACCTGACGCGGAGTGAGACTTGTTCGGCGTCGATCCTTTATAAAAGGGAGCGATTTGCAGACTGGCATGTGGTACTGATGACGCGTGCTAGAAAACCGGAACGTACGACCAGCAGTGGATGTACCATAACAGACCTCATGAAATGCATAGATTATTCTGTAACACAGTAATCAGGACGATTACACCAATTTCATGAAAATTACGTTGGGTCCCAACATAGGAAATCCCAGGCAGTCGCGGTCAGGCAGCACCTGCACGTCTGTCTGAGCACACATGTCTGCTTGTCTGCCTGCCTTCCCATGAAACGCGACGCCGCCGTAACAGTAGCTGAATGGGACTTGACGTCGCGCGGCTTGATACAAAGTATATCATATGGGCCTCAGAGGGTTAGCAGCTGTGCATCTACAACAATAAATTACTAAAAATCACGTGATTTGTCGAATTTTTGCTTAACCAGCCGGCAACAAATTGTTTACATAGTATACTTTTATTTCGAGTGCTTTATTGGGACCACGCTCAAATTTCGATAGATCCTTTCATTATTATTTGAGCCAACTTGTCATGTGGTCTGGTAAGAGCTCTTGTACTGCCCGATACACGTGTTTCGTCCTTACAGACTCGTCGGTCGGGCAGAACCCGAGACTCGTCAGCCGAGCAGAACCCGTCGTCTTTCGATATTTTTATAGTCAGTTCTCTCGGGATGCTTAAACTCCTTATAGAGAGTCGTCGAAGACGAACGTTTAAGACTCTGTGCCAAGCGAAATTCTCACCTAACACAGAGTGTTGCGCCCTCGATTGCTCTTTCGCTGGTATTTTTTATTTGAATTTATTTTATTTTTTAAAAATACAAGCCAAAGAGCAATCGAGTGCGCAACACTCTGTGTTAGGTGAAAATTTCGCTTGACATAGAGTGTAAAACATTCGTCTTCGGTGACTCTCTGTAAAGGAGCAGAGCTCCCGAGAGAACTGACTTCAAAAATATCGAAAGACGACGGGTTCTGCCCGGCTGGCGAGTCTGTAAGGGCGAAACACGTGTATCGGGCAGTACAAGAGCCCTTACCAGACCACATGACAAGTTGGCCCAAATAATATTGAGAGGATCTGTTTGCATAGTTATAGTATGAATAAGATCAGGTACGATCCAGATTAGGTGTCAAAATAGGGCTCTTTTGTTTATTTCTCGGGAACAGAACGTCATGAAATCTTGGTATGTCTTTCTCCATGAGATCTCCTTTTACTGAAGAACTCTTATGCAATCTGCTCATAATTCATTATGGGTCATTATAAAATAGAAGCCTGTGAGAATGGTGTTCACCTGATTGAGAACTTGTATGAGAAAAGCCCTTACCAGACCACATGACAAGTGGGCTCAAACTGTAATGAAGGGACCTGTTGAAATTTGAGCGTGGCCTTAACAAAGCACTAGAAATAAAGGTATAATATGATAGAAATACCAGCTAAAGAGCAATCGAGTGCGCAAACGCCCTGTGTTAGGTGAAAATTTCGCTCGACATAGAGTGTAAAACGTTTGTCTTAGATAACTTGCTGTAGGGAGAGCTGGGCTCCTGAGAGAACTGACTATAAAGAGATCGAAGGACGACGAGTTCTGCCCGACTGACGAGTCTGTAAGGACGAAACACGTGTATCGCGCTGCACGAGACCCCTTACCGGACCACATGACAAGTTGGCTCAAATAATAATAAAAGGATATATGAGAAAAGTTTCAGTCACCAGTAGGTTGGTGATTGGGGCCTGACATTATCTTCAATCAAAGTGGCATGAATCGAATGGCTGTTCTTAATTTCAGTTGCTTTTGAAAACTGTTTTCCTTTCAATCTAGTCGCTTAAACAGTACTAAACTGCCTTGAGAAGTAGTAATAGGAGAATCAGTCTGAGTTCTGTAGGAGTGATATTTCTCAATATTTCTCTTGGCTACATGTTGAAATCACGTCCCTCGTTTATCTCTACAAGCTATGATGTTTCTTCCTAGTGTTTCAGTTCTTTCAAGGTATTTTTCCCCGGATTAAATGGAATGGGGGCCTGATATATGGCGACCGTATGGACAGTGGATTAGCGAGACAGCGCTGAGACATACATGGAGAGCCAGCCACGATAGTCTTCGTTCGTCATACTTTCCAAGGTTTGTGCTGTTTGATAATTATCATAAGTCAAAATTCTTTTTTATTTGACCGCCACTTGCAGTGGTACGATGTTGCACTATACTCAATAATGTGAAGTGTTGCGCAAGAACATTTGCGTCAGCCGGGATTCGAACCCAGATCTCACTCTTTCCGGAAGCGTATGCTAACCGTTGCACTACCGACGCTCGCTTTGCACAGCACTCTTCTTTACGCTACAACGCGTTGTCTACCAACAGTCAACCGTCGACGGTCTGACGAGATCGGAAAGAGTGAGATCTGGGTTCGAATCCTGGCTGACGCAAATGTTTTTGCACAGCACTCCACATTATTGGGTAATTATCATGAGTTTATTCGTTGCTGTACCACGATCTGCCAGTTCGCTACTGTCGCTTCGTGTGGTTTCGAATGCATAGTTCAATTACCCAAGTTTGGGATTCTATCGCCTGATGTCTTCCTGAAAGTTACTGTTGTCGGTTTTTTTCCGAACATAGGTATCTGTATACCAAACCTATATGTACATGTACACGCACATGTATACATCTTTCTGATGTGTACACGTGCATATATACGTACATTTGCTATGGCGAGAGTGTTAGTCTAATGTCCTTGAGCTTCTGAGTCGACAATACTATTTTTAACTTCTACATATATCGCTTATGAGCGCATGTAGCGCAGTGGTTAGAGGTGCTCTGCGTCGCACACGAGTCAACTGTTCGATCTCGCGCTCATGGCTCACCAAGCCATCCGCCCCTACGGGGTCGGTAAATTGGTACCAGGCAGCTCTCAGTCTTGTCTGGGAGGATAAGCAGCACTGACTCGGTTCAGCGGGAGGCCACCTCGAGTCATTGTACAGGCCCGATATGCACGCAATCACCTCAAACGAATTTAAAAATTGAAGGCGAATGCATGGTGCATCCCTCAGTGATTGGTCAACGCCGAGAGCTTAATCCTTTTTGCCTTATATATCGCCTATTCGTTCTTTTTTGACAAAATACCATGTGAAATACAACGATAATAATGCTGAAATATGGGCAAATGAATGGAAGCAGAGGTGACTTCGAACCTGCGATTACTCTTTCCGGGGCTTACCTGTCACCCGCTACACCACCGGGACCCTCTCTTTCTCTTTCTCCCGGCTGTTGGCCGTTGCAATGCTTTTAATAACCATCCGACAATGGAATTGATCTGCAGAGTACTGATTGTTATTGGACCCACTTAGGTCTTACGTTACCGTTGAACCCACGGCCCTCTGCGCTGAACGATCTGCTCCACCTCCTCTTTATCTTTAACCCCCTCCCAAGGTGTCATTGTTGGAGGCAACAGTGTGCCATGTTAGACGCAAAACGCTGGGGGTTAGAGATGCGGAGGAGATGCAACGAACCATCTAGCGCTGCCAGTTGGAGATGCAAAGACAGTGGCTCCACGGTCCCGTGAAGGTCAAGTTAATTTATATCTGCTGCCTATTTTCGTTTTTACTGTGCCAGGAATTGGTAGTCGCGCGCTGGAGGCCACTTCAGGTCCGAAGTTTTGATCTGATCTCAGCCTTTTTTCCGTTGTTAAGTTACTACTCAATATATCTTCTTTCAGGTGGGCTTCGCGCAACGGTTCTACAGTTTCAGAAATTCGGAAGAAATATGCTTACTATCCTGGAAATTTGA